GCATGTCGATGGGCATTGGGGATCCGATATGGAGTTGTAGATTCTCCAAAAGTGTGTATAATTGAGGGGAAAGGTGGCCTCATCCTTCCTTTCCCCTTCCTTTTAAAAATAGTCACACGTATTTGAGGGAATAAAGATTGAAGGGGCACTGTCCAAGGTTTTTTTGTTTTAATTCACGTGGAATTTCATCATGTCTGGTGACCGAAAATGTGGTCATCGATTAGGATTCTCCCTTATCCAATCATAGGTCAACACGCAAGCATCTTTTTGCTACCTCGGATTGCATGGGACTTGTATTTCGTTGACATGTCAGCAAATGTGGACACCGGCCCTGTGCTGCTATGAGAAAATTTTGTGGTATTTGGATCCCACATGTTATAATAAAAGTTTTTTTATCGGTATTATTGATACATCCTACTTCAAAAATATCTCTAATATTCAGAATATTAATAAAGAATAAAGGTTTTTTGTCCAAAGTAATTCTTATGATTGGCATAATTCTTCAATTCAGTTTCTAATATTTAAAAGGAAACTGTAACGAAAAGCTTCCGGTACTGTTCACTTTAACGAAAAATCACATTTTTACACTAAAAAGTCAATCCTGGTACTATTTACTTTACCCTTTATTTTGTCATTATCATTAAAACTCAAAGTTTTCAAGTCATTTTCATTAGTTTTTCTTATTTAAAATCGATAAAAGTGGTTTCTGAGATTGTCCACCGATAATCATTTTGGTCATTTTGTGAGAAGTCTTCGTTAAATTAAGAGTATTTTTGTCAAATCAACATCTCCCCTTGAACTGATGGTTTCTTCAATTTAACGAAAAATTTTCATAGAAGATCAAAATGATTGACGCTGGACAATCTTAGGGACTACTTTTATCGATTTTAAATCTCAGGAATCAAACTGAAGAGTTATAATAATCTCAATGACTTTTTTGGCTAAAAAGCTAAAAATAAATTCACGTGTTATATTTTGAATGAGGTAATAATCATTATGAAACCAATTCATCATATTTTGAGTAGGCCAAAAAATTGCTCCCAAGTCCCAACTATCAATCACTTGGATGGTCAGAGAGGGCATGCAAATTATCTGATGCGTAAGTTTTCATGTGCATGAATCATTTACTTCAGAAATATTCTTGTTCTGGATGAGGTTTATGATGCAGTTGCTAAAATCCTAGATATGCTATTTCTTTCTTTTTGATCATGCTGAACCCACGTGGGAGGTGGATCGCTGACCCAAGTTGACCTTTGGAAAAATGCTTGGGCTGATCAAAGAGTCTAATCAAATATTGGCTGCTTGAGAATATGATCCAAAATCAACTATATATTAAGGTGTAGAAAAATGGAACTAGAGTTCATGCCTTGAGTAGTAATCAGTTTGATTCTATTCATGCATTCTTCCCATGCATGAACTTTGAAAAGAAAATATTATAATAATCCATAAAATATTATAATACCAAGCTAATAGACATGTGTGAACTTAAACTAATATAACATAAAAAATGCACTATTGATTGGATTTAGAAAAAAATGAAAAATCAGGTCGTTGCATTCTCAAATTTTCGTAAATATTTTATGCCATACCCCAAATTTCCCAAATTGGTGTTCCCACTTGTAAAAGGATACTGTTGGAGATTTGGAGCTTTAAAAAGAAACCCCCCTGAACTGTGTTCATTGGATTTGCAGCAGCATGCATGCCTGAAACCCTAAAATGTTATGGGGCAGTTGAGCTACAGTCTCCCCAGACAAGAAAAGCCTTGTGTTGAGACCACTTTTGTGAAATAGCAGGTTTGGTTCTCCAGCTCATTCTGCATAAACGGCGTCGCCCGCCGCGATGCTTATTCCAATTTCTGAGAGAATTCCTTTTTTAACAAAAAGAAAGGTGGAATTTGGTGTTAGGCGACCTATAAGATTTTCTAGTCACACCCGTCTTTGCTTTCTTGGAGATTGATTTTCAAACACGTGGCCGACATTCAACTGTTAGAGGATCCAAAGTCACCTCATAATTGAGTTTAGATATTCCTAAGCAAATCAATAATTTAACTTAATTTCACACGTGTGTGTAGGGGTGTGCTATCCATACACCCTATTTTACTTTTCACACATCCTTTGATAATTTTTATCCGTTGATCTTCTTCAATTTATCCGATCCGACGGCCGAAAATTAAAAAGGTGTGTGAGAAATAAAATGGGATGTGTGGATATCACACCCCTATATATATAATGCATGCAGAAATTAGAAGAATATGACTCTACATTATATATTTATATTTCTTATAATGTGTGAAGGAAGTTGAGATTTCACTATAAAACTAATTGATATAAGCTCATGCAAGGTCTCTTCTCATCAATGTATCATCTCAACACGCTCTCGGTAGAAAATTGGGGTTTCACTGAATAACCAAGTGGCGATATATGAAACAGCCCCATTTACTTATAAGCCCCATGCCAGCTCACTCATTCCATTAATGTGAGATTCATTCTCAACATGCTCTCTCAAGTGTGGCGAATTTTCAAGCTTAGCACATGAACAACACAAACAAGATGACGTGGAGCACATGTAGCAATTGAACTTCACACGCCGGACAACCTACTCTGATACCTATGGTGGAACCTCCACTTTCTTCATGGTATAGAGCAAGTTGATCCACGTGTGAAGCCCAATAGCTATACATACTCAACATCACCTCATTGTTTTGTCCACATGTTAGGCTTGAAAATTCGTCACACATGAGGAAGACGTGGGAGAATGTGAGGACAAAGTCCCACATCGGTGAGGGAGTAAGCTATGGAAGCGCTTATAAGAGGTTGGGCTACTCCCCATATTGCCAATTAGTTTTATGGTAAAACCTCAACTGTCTTCACTCCCTCATGTGTGTGAATTTTCAAGCCAAAGCATGAACAACACAACTGGTGTGACATGAAGCATGTGTGACCGTTGGACTTCACAAATGGGACAACATGCTTTGATACTTCACAACTGGGACAATGATATCATGAAGAAAGTTGAGATTCCACCATAAAATAATTGGCAGTATCAGAAGTAACCCAACTTATTTATAAATTCATGCAAGATCCCTCATCTTATCAATGTGAGATTCATCTCAACAATATGAACAAGTTTCACACGAGTCTTATAATATTTTTTAGGACTTAAGGTGTACTCGTCATTCTACTCTGAAGAATTAATATTTGCCTAATTCAATTTTTTTTCTAGTTTATATTGTTTTTAAATATTCATTTCAGTCTCGACCAATATGAAACAATTGAAATGAATTGGATTTTACTATTAAAAATCCAATTCACATGCATAAAGATTAACACTAACATATATAGTTAAAGTTATTTAAACAAATGTGGACATCTAAGTAATCTTCGAATGGCATTTCAATTATTGCCAAAAGGCGAAAGGGAATCGAGAGAGAAGGTAAGAAGAATTTTGCAATGGATGTGTATTGGAGGAATTGATTCCAAGTGAAAATATTTTTAGCAGCATCGAAAGAGTTGTGTGCCTATAAACTTCCATCTGGGGAAGGTGTATTTGCCAGATTGGATGAGAATTAGCCCTCTAGGCGTGTGACGTATGTGTGCATGTAAACTTCCATCTCAGCTTTCCACGTGAAAACCAATGTGAATATTATAACATATATATAGGAAACGAAGATTTACAAAACCATGCATGTTTTTAATCAAGAGTAATGTTACGGACACTAAATTTATTCACCAAATCAAGTTTATAATAGTTAATTTGTGTCACATAATAATTTATGATAAATACATGTCACATTCCGGCCCGGGCTCCCACCACATCCTAGGCTTGACTCCGTCATAGTATGATATTGTCCGCTTTGGGTCCCGACCACACCCTCACGGTTTTGTTTCTGAGAACTTCCTAGTGGGTCACCCATCATGGGATGGTTTTGTTTCTGGGAACTCATACGAGAACTTCCTAGTGGGTCACCCATTATGGGATTGCTCTCGCGCGAACTCATTTAACTTTGGAGCTCCGATGGAACCCGAAGCCAGTGAGCTCCAAAAAGCCTTGTGCTAGGCAGAGATGAGAATATACATATAAGGCATAGAGAATCCACTCCCCTGGGTGATGTGTGATGTCACATACACATCAACAATTGTAATATACACAATAGAAAAAAACATAGGGAACTTTAACGAAAAGCTTCTGTACTGTTCACTTTAATGAAAAACCATATTTTTACATTAAAAAATCAATTATGGTACTATTCACTTTACCCTTTATTTTGTCCTTATTGTTAAAACTCAAAGTTTTCAAACCCTTTTCATTAGTTTTTCTAAAAAAAATAATGCTTAGATACACCTCATTATTCATGCATTCAATTACAATTAACGACTATTCATCATACACATGTTGTGATAGAAACCGTTCATCTTCCTCCACACAAAGATCATGTACCCAGAAAATGAATCATATTAGAAATGATTTAGGCACAATTTCACAATTTATTGTGATTAATATATATGACTGGCTAAACAATGTCAAACCCTTTAAATATTAGAAGAAAATTATATTCCTGGGGCCTCTTTCAAACTTTCAACTTCAGTTAGGAGCCTCCCCTCATAACACCTACATATCTAGATGTTGTGGATATACTGAGGACATGGAGAATAAATGTTGCATGGAGAATAATGTAAAGATGGGGCAAGGAAGGGGGTTACTCCCCTAGTAGAATTTTGTTGGGAAAACTATGTGTGCCTGCACTCATCAACTAGCCAGGTTTTTCTCACCTTTAGAAACCCACTTGCCACCCTTTAATTCTAACTCCCAGCAGCAGAAGTAACCATCCAACGTTTATATGGAAAAACAATCTTAAGGAATCCCAATCCCATGCATATTATTAAGGGAAAAAGAAACAAGCAAACCCATCTGAAGAAAGCTGGCAGAGAATAAAATAGGAACATCCATGGCCCCCTTTCCAGAGTCTCACAGTCCACGTAGGAAGCCTAGCTTGAAGAACTACTATATAAACCTCCTTGCCCATTCAAAACAAGATCACCAAACTCATTTGACAAATTAAGTTCTTCTTTTAGTGTTCTACGCTAAGCTAGCACAAGTCAAGCACAGCTAGTACAGTTTTCAGTTCATTTATTCCGAGCTTCTACGTACCTTCAGGTGAGCTTTCTCTTCCTCCTGATTTGTGTTATGCAACTCACATCATTCCGTTCGTTTGAAACGTGTGTACACACAGTTCGCCTCTGTGCATGACATCCTGTCTTTAAGAAAGATAGGATTGTTTGAGGAACATCAAGCTCGTATATGTAATATATATGATACATATAGTCCATCTTTTGCAAGAGGACCCGTCTTTAAGAAAGGGAAACCTCAAGCTCTTATTTGTTATAAAACATTGCAAAGGGAAGGATCCAGTAGACTATTAATTTCTTTACAAATGTACAATGCATTTTCTCTAACAGATTTCCATGGAAGGAAGCCTGCCTGCCTGCCTGCCTCTAATAAATTTCTAGAAGAACAAAATGAAGAATCTAGTTAAACTGTTGGTTTGTAACTAGTATTATATATATATGCTAATCAGTTCTTATACTATTTATTAAATATGCAGGTGGGAATTAAAAATGAGCTGGGCAGGAGACTGGATGTGCGGAGCATGCCAGCACACGAACTTTAAAAAGCGCGATGAGTGTCAACGTTGCGGGTACCCCAAGTATGGCGGACCTGATCCATCAACATATGGATGCAACCGGACGGAGGTCTTGGCCGGGGACTGGTACTGCAACTGTGGAGCTCACAACTATGCCAGCAGACCCAATTGCTATAGGTGCAGCTCAATGAAAACTGACTATGGTGGTAGCATGATGCCTTCTGCAGGAGGCTATGGTTCCGATGCCAGCGCCCCACCTGGATGGAAACCCGGCGACTGGATGTGCAGTAGGTAATTAATTAGCCTACATACACTATCTAAAACCCTAAATTGCCTGCATTGTTCATATAAATATCACATTTAACTAAGAAATGTGTGCTAGTGCTACTAGCTAGTAATTGTGAGGATGTGGAACATTCTTCGCATCCTCACCTGTCCCCTAGTGTGTACCAAATTTATGGTGAATCCTTAACTTCTTTTAGCACCGTCATTTATCTTTAATTAGTTTGCTAATTTGAGTGTATTTTAATGGATCAGAGTTGGATGTGGAGTGCACAATTACGCGAGCCGAATGGAATGCTTCAAATGCAAAACACCAAGAGATTATGGTAATAAGTTTGCATTAGTCTTCAAAATTATCGTCTATATGTTAATTTATGTGCACAAGTAAAAGTGGCTCAGCATCTAATTTGCAAATCTTTATTACTTGGTTGCAGGTCTGTAACATGATCTACTTGATCAGGTGGTGCTGTTTAAGGAAATGGAGCATGTAAAGAATTGGACTCTTATGCACCGTCTCTTTTCGCATTTGCACACATCTGATCCCACCTCAAGTGGGGTCTATTTTTTTCCGAACTTTTCGTTTTTAGAGATAAATAAGGTTAGGTTGATCCTGGTTGAAGGCACACTTTCACAGGGATAGCCTTTCAACTGACAACTGTATTAGATGGACGGTTTTCTAGGTTTCTGTAGCAAAGTTGCTCTTCTATGGAGCCCAGAAAATCCCTTATTATAATGGAATTACCAAGTTTTCTGTATCAAGGCTGCAAAGATCAACAGAAACGTTGAAGTCTTAATTATGTTTTCAACCCAAGAAAATAAAATTCAACAGATATTAGATTCAAGGAATCTCTTTGAGTTGTTCACTTTAAATGACAAAGGGCCTTCTCTCACTGCAATAATGTATGAACCCTTTAAGCATCAAATATCCAGAGAAACAAATATTTATGCGGATAAGAACCAGATGCTCTGATTCAATAAATAGATGCAATACAATATGGCAAGTTCAAAGTGAGTCAAATTCAACTTTTTTCGTTTGGAAATTTAAGGGCTTTTGCATTTCATATGATAGCTAGCAACGCAAAGCACACAAATTTATAATCTCTCAAGGCCTCACCATCATGCGCAATAGCTAGAAAGACACTTGATTCCATCTTATGCATGCTTGCCCTCCCCCTACTGCTAAATTTGGATAAAAGTTTTCAACTTCCAACTTCATGAGCATGCATAGGTTCCCTTTCGTTATTGACCTTAAATTAGTGCTCAGGTTTAGGGGTATCCCATATCATTCAGATATGCATTGTCATGTGTTTAACTTTTTCACATGCATATAGAAGCGCGTGATTGTCTTGATATACTGCGATATGACATCCCCGTTGCAAAGAAGTTGCTCTCGCAACTTTATGGTTATATGCTCCATTATTTGGCTTTTATAAAAGATTCTGGGTTTACTCCATCTAATTTATACCTTTATGTTCATATGCTTTTACATATTACTGCTAGAGCAAAAGGGTCCAGTGTTTGGTGAACTAGTTTCCCCAGCACATAATACTGACTTTAAATTTACTTTTAGTTTTCTTTTCACCTTCCTGTTTTGGTATCATAGTCCAGGAAAAGGGTTCCAAGCGCTGAAGATCGTATGATCAAAATTATACAGTCCAAGATTCTGAACTCATTATGTCTGGCTTCCTCCTCCATCTTTTCCTTTCCATAAATACAAGTCCACATTAAATTATGAGCCCAAATAATTACATGTATTCTTGAAACGACATTATTGTTATTTGTTACTGTCAAACTTTCATAAATAAAGCCTCATGCTTTGTCCAGATTGAGAATACTGCAGAAATCCTTCTTTGCGTCATCCAAATGTAGAATATTGAAATCCATCGCCATCGTGTCTCACCATCCAAGGCCGATGAGAACAATTGAGAGAACCCTTTTCGTAACATTGCATGAAACCGGTGATCAGTCATGTGATAGCTGCTGACATGATGTAGTAATTACTAATTATTAAATGTATACTAGCCAGAACAAACACGACAACAAACAAAGACAACATATCCAATTCATGCTTGAATGAAGATTTCAGCCATTGTTTCACCAAAAAAATAGAGCCATATTACAGTTGCATGTGCAAATAAACTATATGTAGGGAGAACCTGCAATGATTCTGTTGGAGAACAATTCAGAAATAAACAAAATAACAGAAATTTCACTATTTTATTAACCAAAATATATTTGCTGTGCAGAATGAAAATTATACAATGAATATAGAAATTGATGTTACTAACTTGATTACAGAAGGTAGAGGTTAACGTAAAAGCTATGTCCTTCGAACAATATTTTCGTCCCACTCCTGTGCTTGTGGTTCTACGACGTCTGCTCGACCAGGATTCAACTACCTAATTCTACAATCCGCACTGGATTCTAGAACTCTAGCGAATTTTCTTTTTGTGTGTTTACTCTCTAGAAATTCGTACAGAAGAAAGGAACAAGAAAGGATGATCCATTTGGAAACTGTGATTGCAGATATATAGGTTGTTTCACACCCTTTCAAATATATGTTCAGTGTATTTGAAGGTACACAACTCTTTCTAAGAGCTGTGTCTTTTAATCAAAACGTTTTTAATTAATAAATTAATTAAAAACTTAATCTGAAAATTAAAATTAATGAATCAGATTAATTTTCAGTTCCAAGGCCCAAGGCCCTTGTCTTGATTAATTAATATTAATTGTATTTAGGCTATATTATACAAGCCTAATCCACACAACCATAAGGCCCAAACCTTCAATCCATTTCCAAATGGCCAATGTTGTAATTACAAAACTAAAACATTAAATCTATATAAAGGCTCTTAAGAATCTTGTTTTCCCCAATATAGAACAAAAGTCTCAAAACTTCCAACAGATTCATGCCACAAGATATCAAGCACAGCAAAAATGAACTGCTGTGATTCATGCCATCTGGGACTGCAGTTAAAACTTAATTGATTTGTTTAATCGATCATGGCATTGGCATCTTATTTTATCAGCGACCTTTGGCCACCACATTGTTATAATATTGATCAACCGTGATGTGATAGCCAAATAAATATTGCATTAACTTTCATGCCTTTGCTGCAAGTCCATGCTTTTTATTTCATATGGGGTTTTGACTCAGTTTAAAAGTCGAGTGCGCTGAAACTTCATGCTATTTTCTTGACTTATTTTTCTATAGTTTAAGGCCTCATTACAACTAAATTAGACCCTAATTTAAAATTCCTAAAATATAAACGGAATGACTACGTACAAAATACAACTAAGACATGCAACGTAATTAGTATTTGTTATTTTGGTCTAAGGTAATGAAATTTTTCTACAAAAAACAAATGTGCATAAAATTGTAAATGTAGATTATAAGTCATGATGGATTTTGTGTGCACTTTACACCTAAATTCAAAACTGCATCTTCTAAGATAGTGACGGATCCAGGAAATAATATTAGAGGGGTCAGTAAGACCAACTCCAACCATGACTTATAACCTAAAATTCCTCTTCCCCCCCCCCCAAAACCCACTCCAACTCATGACCTAAAATAAACCTAAAACCTAAAACTCAAATAGGGGCCAAATTCCGATCACATTTTAAGCCACAAAGTAAAATGGGCCCCACATTTCTGCTGAAGAAAAGCAACCCCATGTGGGGGTGTTCCCCCAGCTTTCAATGCAAAAAGTAGCTGTTTGCTACTTTATATCATCAGCCCAATGCAAAAAATAGCCGTTGGCTACTTTATATCATCCAAGTTCAAATTTTTTTTAGTTATATATATATATATATATATATATTGAATCAAATGGCTTAGATCGAATATAATCAAATCTAACGGTAAAAAAAAGATCTAACGGTCCAAATTTAAATCCAATGGCTAAAATAATTAAAAAAATATATTTAACTTAAAATTCAACCAAAAACTCTATAAATACCTATGTATTTGTTCAAACATCCACACAAAACTCACTTTTCTCCTACATTTTTTCCAATTTTTCTTTCTACCATTTCTTCTCATTTCCAAAATTTTCAAGATGGCAAAAAAGCATGTTAGAGGTCGTAATTGGACCTTTGATGAAGATATTGCTTTATGTTTGACATGGATTTCTGTTAGTGAAGATGATGCCGTCGGCACCAATCAAAATAGAAAGGATTTGTGGGGTAAAATCGTTGATAAGTTCCATGAAAACTCCCAACGTCAGTCGAAGGGAAGTTGGTGGTGTTTATGATCGGTGGAAGATTATCAACAAAGCGTGCACTTTGTGGAAAGGAAGCTTGGAGAAAGCCATGGTTGACATGCCTAATGGAAGGGGCGCCTCAGAAATTGTGAGTTTCTTTGTTGATATTTTACTTGTCATGTACATAATAGTATTTAGCAACTAATTATTTTTATGTATTTGTTGCATAGGGTGACAAAGCAATGACAATTTACAAGACAAGAACTACACCAAAAAATCAAGCTTTTAAGTTGCATCATGCTTGGAACATCCTCAAGGATTGTCCGAGGTGGGGAACCGATGTGAATCAACAATGTGGAAGATTATTTCATAATGAAGCCCCACCCCCAAATGATGTCAATGAAGGTGTGAATTTTGCCAACAATGAAGGTATCGACCAAATGAGCCCAACTTCTTCTTTGCCAAGGCCCTCAGGTAGAGATAAGCAAAAGGAAGCAAAGAGAAAAGGGAAGTCCCAAGATCCGATACGTGCACAATTTGCTAGCGAAATGGCAAGAATGAACGAAAACCAGTGTCGTCGGCAAAAAGAATCGGCCTAAATGTTTTTGGCCATGAAGCAAGAAGGGGATAGGGAGCAAGAAAGGTACGAAACTAATTTGATAATGGAGGACCTCGACAAATACACTCCAGAGAGGAAGAGATACTTACGTGGTAAGCAAAAAGAAATTTTACGCAGGAATGCCACAAGGAGTATATTTCAAGATGATGATTCATCTCAAGACTATCACCTAAGTCCACCACCAAGTCAAGATGATGGATATCATTATTAGGTTTATGTAGTCTATGAGTTTTCGATTGTATTAAGTTTATGTGGTTTATTAATTGTATTTTTTTTAAGTTTATGTGGTTTATCATGATTTTCATGTATTGATTTAGTGATTTTTCAAAATTTATCGGAATTTAAATATTTTTAGGTTAAAATGTTTATAAAATTAATTTAGGATAATCTACATAATTTTTTTTTTAAAAAGTTAATTTAAAAAAAAATTAGCCTTAATTCATTTTTCGATAATCCGGGGCTAAAATTTTAGGCCAAAAGGGTTGGAGTAGAAAAGCTGTTTCTGGGCTAAAACCTAAATTTTCTGGACTAAATATTTTTAGGTTTTAGGTCAGGATTGGAGATGGTCTAAGCAAATTTTTTTTACTAGAAATAGCATGCATATCGTCATTTCAACGAGTTTTGGTAGGCTTAAAGTCATTTGGAAAGGCATATTGCACACCTGTTAATGTATGCAAGGGGTAGCACCCAAGTTTTCCATGGACATTCACCGAGTCTTGGTAGGCCTGAAGTTAGTTGGAGGGCATGTATGAAGCCAACTCTAATCTTCAAAAGGGCAGCACCCAAGGTATCCATGGACATTCACCAAAGTTCGGAGGGTCAGCACCCAAGGTATCCATGGACGTTTACCGAAGTTCGGCTGACCTCCCTGCCCCTCAATGCATCCGCCACTGTTCTTAGGGAGTAGTTTTATAATATCAGAATATTAAAAAAGAAAACAAGTAAAGATGATATAAAAGCTAACAACGATTTTCATTTTCAATGTTTTTAAAAAGTGATTTTAGAAAGAAAAAAAATATTTTTGA